AATAAAAATCTTACCAGTCACCACCACAGTGCTGGAATTCAAATCCATGAAATCTAATCTCCAGAAGGTGCAATTTTCTTGGTTTTCAGTTCCAAACAGTATTATAATTCAGGTATCTGTGGCAAACTTCATTTGGGGCACCTTTTCTCTTCCAACTGTGATGAGCCTGGCTTCATGTGACAGGGATGATTTGTGACTCATGTAACTTTTAAAGCAAAAATGATTACGTACCTATTAAAGATAGAAGACTGGCTGATTGGGACTGCCCCAAACTTTTCCTTTCCCAGGCATGGAGTATTTAGGAAGAAGTGGAATAGCTTAAAGAAATTTCTTGGAAAATATCCAGCAGTATTTTTCATCACTTGTTTATGTGCAAGTAAACAGAAAATTAGTTGAATCAGTTTTATTATAACTCTGTGGGTATTCTGGATTTAGCAGTTGTAATTCACTTTAATGGAGAGGAATGACAACTACAAAAACTTATCTGTCCATTTCCACTGTTCTTGGACTTTTTCTTACTTAAGCTCAGGGGTAACTTTGCTGTTCCTCTTCACAGCACTTATCTGATTTACTGCTCTTGATCTTTATCTGAGGCTTGTTATGAAAGAGTCCAAGCACAGTACACTTTTCAAACTAAACACCAACAGGAAAATATGTGTATTTGCTAACCCAAAACATTTACTTGGTAATATCCTTTAACAAGCAACATGTTAGAAAATCTCACTCCAACTTGCAAGGTCAGAGGAACTCTAGAAGATGGATTATAGCTTGCTGAAACTGGTGAGTTTAATAGCTGGTCTGTCTTCATTAAAGTGGAGCCTGGGAGCCAATGGGGGGGCCTGGAATCAAAACATATGCATATTGTCACTGCCCAAAACAAAAGCATATGCAAGTTCTCTTGGGAATTATAACTATGTGGGCAGAGGGTTTTACTGGGTCTTGTTTTGAGTAGGAAGTGTGTGTGTGTGTGTGTGTGTGTGTGCTTGAGAGAGAGAGGGAGGGGAGAAATAAGCTAAGAATAGAAAGCCACTATATTATCTCAAGAGAGCTGGTAATTGTGAGACCTTAGGGAAAAAAAGAAAAATCTCTGAAGAAATCCCTTGAGTTGGGTGGTGGCTGAATGAGGTTTGGAGCCATGACCTGTGTCTGTCATTTAAATTGTCCTGTGCTGAGACACACAAAAATGTCTGGATTCTCTTTATTTAAAAGACTCTGATTCCACCATCCATTTCTTCCCCTAACACAACTTGCAGAATTAACTTTTGCTGACTGCTGGGGCTGAAGGAGGTTCTAATACAGGAAAGAGAGCTTTCTGCAACTTTAAATAAGTTGCACCACTGCAACTGATTACTTTTCAAGTCCTACAGTCCTTCATACTCCTGTGTCAATCAAGATTTTTATCTGTTAATTTTTCTGCTTGACCAGTCATTTAACCACTTCCTATGATTCTGAGCAGGGCAATGACATAACAGTGTTCTCATAGTTATTTTTGATTTGTGTTGGTTTTTTTCTTTTTTAGGAAAAAAAAAATCTAAGTACAGGGTGGTCCAATGAACAAAAAATTTGTAAGGAATAAGGCAAGATTTAAGGTCTGTAGTTGCTTAATTAATTTCCAGAGTGAGAATTTTTATTTTCTTTGGGACATGAGAGCTGCTTCATACAAACAAATACGAAGAGTATTGCTCGAGTGCAGTAAAATATTAGGTATTTCATTAGATATTCTTCCAGAGGGGAGATGTAAGTCTATTAGTTCCATGCACTCTGAAACAACTGATATGATCTGTTTGGAATGTAGTACTAGTTCTAAAAGTTTTTACAGCTGGAAAAAAGGAGTAGAAGAAAAATACAGAGTAGCAAAGATTAATTCAGTAAGCCTTTATGAAGAAGCTGATAGAATTTTGGAAGGGGGGAAAAGTATTGTCTTCAGTAGTTAGTCCTTTTTCATAAGCAGATGTTTGCTGAACTGTAATTAAAGATTCTGAGACTTTTCCAGTGTTGGTAAACACTTGTGCAAGTGTGGGAGGAATGCTAGTGGTTTAAATAAACCAGTGATTTAACACAGACCACTGAAATTAATTTTTGCACTGATTTAATTGATTGCTCATGTTCCCAAGCTTTGTGTGCATTGCAGTATACTTGTAGAAATAATGCATTTATTGCAGCTGTGCCACACAGTTAAAACAAGAATAGAAAATTTTGCATTAGGTCTTACTCAGAAATGATTCAGCAATGAAACCTTTTCTTTCCTCTAATATTTCTTCAGCTGAAGTCACTCTTGAAGTTTTTGTTGAAGTACTATTGTAGCTTTAATATTAGCACTCCCATGTGTATCTGTGCTCAAAACAATGGATTTGAGGGTCACTGGATATTTGAGGTCTGTTCAAATTAATCTCCCCATCCATAATTAAGAATCCAAGCCCTTGCTATTTGAAGGCAAGTCACAGACACAGCTGACTCAGCTAAACACTGGTTGTTTTTCTTGCTACACACGGATATGATTGACACGACACTCATCTTGAGGTAGAGAGGAAATGGAAGCAACTCAACTATGAAAATCCTGGTTATCACCTTGAGTATTTTTCTGCACAGTTGTCTGATATTTTCAAAAATTGTTTGAACTGCTGAGTAAGAAAAAAATATATTTTCTGCAAATGCATTCTGACCACACCGCAGAGCAGGCAGCACACTGCTTGAGTAGCTTTTTAGTAGATGGCAAGAAGAACAGAATATGGGTCTTCATTTAGAAACAGCTCTTTAATTTTTATCTCTTTTATTATTACTTATATATATTTCTTTTATTTCTTGTTATTGGCAGGCACTGACCAGTGTTTTAAACTGTGAAGTGGAAGTGTTTAATATATTCTAATTTTTATCTCAGCTGTTCAACACTTAATGAGAGGAGGGAGAAATCAAGCTGTTATGCTATTTAACACTAAACTATAATGGGACTTTAAATAGAAATTTCAGGATCTATAACTCCATATTTCCTTTCCATTCTAATAAAAACAAATGGTCCTCAGGAAACACTGAAGCTGTTTTTTATGTCGATAGAAAGCAATGTCACAAAACCGCTTCTGTGTAAAGCTCACTGTTCCCTGTGGAATGAGGCCTTTTCTACAACAAAATCCATAGAAATGGTAAATGGAAAAATATAATGGCAGACTTACTCAGGGTTTTTTTGGCAGAGACATCTTCCACTATCCCAGGTTGCTCCAAACCCCATCCAACCTAGCTCTGAACACTTCCAGGGATGAGGCAGCCACAGATTTTCTGGGCAAGCTGGGCCAATGTCAGTCTGGTTTTAGATATAAACTGCCACGTGTTTTATGTTGTTTGATTATTTATTTTAGTTCTTCAACAGTTCTATTGGTATATACCTATTGCTCAGCACAGATGGGAAAAACTGCAAACTGAATGTGAGCTGAATGTAGCTAAGCTGCTGGGTGGCTGTTACATTATCAGTCCTGGTCTTCTTGCAGGATTATCAAAACTAAAGGCTGTGTATTGACAGGTTTTTTAATTTATTTCTTTGTTTATCATGAGGAGAAAGGACTTAGCAGGGCACGTGCAACCCATGATCAACAGGTTGCTTTTTTCAGGTGTCATTTACCAACACAGAGAGACCCTGCAAGCAGGATACGCACAATTTAATTAACTATTTATCAGCTAATATGCAAAATAGCTAGAACTAACAGATTGCTGGGCTGAACAGTAACATGCTTACCACTGCTGATAAGGAAATGAATGATTTTTAGCTGGCCAGGAAGTATCTAATAGGCTGGGGAAAGTCGGTCTCTGACATTTATTAGTATGGGCTGATCCTCACCATTAGAGTTATCATCATGTTTTCTGGTTGATTGTTTCGGTTCTTTTCTTCTTCTTTTGTATCTTTTCTCTTGAATCTTTTACCAGCTAACCATTGTCATCCCACCAACATCACCTGCGTGGTTTCAGCTTCCCGTCTTTCCTGCTGCATCAAACCAGACCTTGGACCACAGCAGGGCCAAACCTCTGGGCTGTGGGTGACATGGGGAGAGCTGGAATGTACAAAGCTTCAAGGGATCATGAGCATGTGCTGAAATCCACTGAGGGTCTCTAAAGTGTGGTGATGTGACATCTGCTCTTTGGAGAGTCAGTGTACGGGATGAAATGGTTTTGTCCTGTACAGAAAAAAAAAAAAAATTTTACTAATTCACTCTGCTGTATGTTTTAAAGCATTTGAAAGGAGGAACAATGCTAAGGAGTTTTTGGTTGCTGTGCTGACAGGCAATGGAGTCTACTGACTCAGGCCTCCAGGTCACAACAGCATACCTGGGTGCTCGAAATGCAAAAGTGAATTTATAACTTTGCAAACAAACCATTATTTCCATGTACTTAAGACCTCTATGACTTTGATACCTGAATCTGTTATTTTAAATATAATTGAGTGACAATACTATTTGGGTATGAAGGCTGCCCTGAGTCAACTCTTGAATTCTACTTTTAATTTTGACAACTGTGTAATGGGTTTAGCCCCTGTACCTCAGTTTTATGGTTTGTGGTAATGAACGGCAGGCAGCTGCTTAGGTTTTCCAAAAGCGTCTTTCAGATTAACAGTGGTCACTGCAGAATGATAGAAAAATGTTACTTTTGTACTTATTTTCCTCTCGCAAGCCTTCTGCCTCATGCCACCCGCGTTAACACAAAGCTAGGTTTATGGTTTGTCATTCTTTGCCTTTTAAATGAATAATTTGGGATTTTTGTGGGAGTTTTGTGAGTTCACACGCAGCGTGGGCCGGCCCTTCCCCACGGCCGTGCCTCCATGGCGGGGGCTGAGGGCATTCCCCGAGCCTGAGGGCATTCCCCGAGCCTGAGGGCATTCCCCGAGCCCCCAGCCGGCCTCGGCAGCCTCCCCTGGCCTCTCCGGGCACGGCCCCTCCGCTCCCCGCCTTTCGCCGTCCTCTGCCCCCTCAGCCGCCATCCCGAGCCCGGCCCGCCCTCAGGGCTGCCCGCGCCGCCCCGCAGGAAGTGATGGCGGCCGAGGGAGGAGGAAGAGCCGCCGCGGGTAAGAGGGAGGAGGCGGCTCGGGGTGGCCAAGGGCGGCCGGGACGCCGCGAAACACTCGGGGCTTTCCAGGGAATCTCTTCCCGCTCGCCTGCGGCCGTGCCCCGGCGGGCCCGGGCCCCTCATGGCCGCGCTCCCTGCCGCGCCTGAGGGAGGCGGGCAGCCTCAGCCCTGCGCACAGGGTCACGCAGAGCAGGTGCTTCAGGGTTTATTTTCCCATTTCTCAGCGTACAGGTGACTTTTCCAGGGGTTCGGCTAGTCCAAGCCTGCCCAGAGAGAGTCGGCCTGGTGGTTCCTGCCCGCTGTGGTTCGGCAGGTGGTGCTGGGGAGAGGATGATGCCCAAAATCCTGTTTGCAGTGTGTGTTTTGGGTCTCAGTGCAGGTGGATGAGTCAAGACATCAATAGATCTCAAATACTTAGCCATTAAAGGTGCATTGGGAACACTGCATAAAAATACCCATTTTCAAAGGCACCATCGGCAGTTGTTTACCCAAAGTGAGCAAAAACCAAACAACAAAAGCAGCAGGGTTTAACAGGGACAAAAGAGGCAGTGAACACGTTGGTTCTTGATCACATAAAAACAGTTGGACTGTTTTGGTGTGGAGATATAAAAGGTTTTGTATATTGCAGAGTAGTGTACAAAGTATAATATACAAATTATACAAATATGTTGATGTATACATATATAGTACCCTTCCTTTAAAAACTATTAATTAAAGCTTTTCTTTGCTGTTGATGAGGTGAGTAGAACAAGAAGCACATGGACCTAGAGGATGAACTTCTGTGTGAAAAGCCACTCTTCCCTTGTCTCCTTTCAGCAGGAGTTGATTTGCTGCTGTTTCTGGCAGTGGGTGAAGAGCTGCTCTGCCCAGCCGAACTCAGCCTTTCAGTACCTGCTGGACTTAGAGTGCTTTGAAATGAACAGGCATTGTGTCAGTTCCCAAATGGCAGAGCTTCGGGTGCTTGGTAAAGAACGTGATTTTAGCATAGGTGGATCTTCTGCACGTGCTCCACCATGGATTTCCAGAGGAGTCTGGCATGTGCGGTGTTCTGGGTTTGTGTTTGACCAGGAGGACTTCCAGGAATCTCTGTTCATGCACTTGTTTGGATAAGGGCCCATTGCATCACCTCAGTTAGCTTTTGTGCTGCTTTCCCTTCTGCTCTGTTTTTATATCTTCTTTCTTAATTTGTCACGCTAGCAGGTAAATGCAGGGAAAGTGAATTTATCTTCTGAAACACATTTTGAGTTGCTGCCATTTATATAAAGCACCTACTTCATCCCCTTCAGTAAAATAATGATGTTGTTCATTAGTTCCTCTAGCTGCTCATGGCTAAATGCACTGCAGTCAGATTGCTCTGTTTTTCCCCTCCTATCAACCACTGACGGAAGTCAAACATTTGTAATAACGCTATTTTTTTTCTTGGGGGGGAGACTCTCAGTTCTGCTGATCTTCTTAAAATATCTCTAGATGAATAGAACTTGGGTTTTCATATCCAAGGAAGCATTGTAGTGTTGGGCAGTTCAGTTAATGTCTACATTTTTCCCTGACTTTTTCATCACCTTCAGATTGAATGTTTAGAATAGTTGTTCTTCCATCTCCTTTCTCTTTTGGGACAGCTGATGTTGTTTTTAGGTGTTGTGTGAGTTTTGGTGTAGTTATTTAATAGCACAAATCTATGTTTAAAATAATTATGGAGCAGTTGCCAGTAAGCAAGTTGAGTATGCAGAACACTTTAAGAACATATGAAGTCAGCCATTAGCTGCTGTGCAAATACTGCTTTTCAGTTCATGTCGTGCTGTAATTGAGATGCTACAACTCACTCTTGATGGCTGTTCCTGTATGTTTTTCACAGGGAAAGATTGTTTAGACTTCCAGGTTTTTAAGTCCCTTTACAAGTTCCAGGCAGACCATGCTGTTGAGAAGCAGGCCTGCTGTTGACCTAGAACTTGAGGTTCTTGTTTTAAATTCAGCCTTCTTGCAAATTCATTTTGATTACAGAACACCTTGAAAGTCAGATTTTTATGTGTTAACCACGTAACAGAAACAGTGAGCAACCACGTATATGCAGCTCTGGAGCCTGAGAAATAGTTAGTGGATGAGAAACCTGTGTATCTAGTTTGGCAATTGCATTAATGAAGCCTTAAATTTCCATCTGTCTCTCTAGGAAGATGGAAATCTCCCTGCCCTCCATGAAATCCGTGTTAATCAGTTTATAGGAAAGAGGTCAACAGCTTGGAAGGTGGAAACGCAAAATTCAGGTAGCGTATAGGCACTATGAGGAATGTGGCCTCTGCATCTAAAAAAGCTTCTCAGAGATCTAAGATGAGATTGATTAACAAGCAGACTCCTACAGTGGAACTAAAATCTCATGTATGGCACAGGTAGAATTTTACTCAGGCTGTGTGTACGTAAGAGGTAAGGGCTGCCATAACATTGCCACAGCTAAGGCAAGTTGTTGAAACCTTGCTGTCTTTAACCTAAATATGTAGTTACAGTCTAAAAAGAAAAGAAATCAGGAAACAAAATCCTAAATACTTCCCTCAAAGGACAACTGCAGGCCAAACCCCGGCTAACAAACCCGAGTCCCTTTCCATAGTAGCGTTTCAGTGAACACACTCCTTCCCTTGAGGGAAAGCTTGGGAAAACAAATAACACAGGAGAAAGTCTGGCCGGTTTCAATTTGCAAGTGGGAGGTGTGCAGGCATTATGGCTGTGAGTGTGTTATAGGAACCTACGTGATGAGGCTGGTATGTATTTGCCACATTGTGTAAAGGTTGCATTCTGAGAGACTTCCAAACGCCTTGCCTGGCAATTCCCGGCTCTGGCATGTTGTCTTTGCTGAATGATTGGCAGACCCTCGGGTCGCACATATCTGAAAGAAACTGTGTCCTGCTCAGTTACCCAGAGATCTGTGGATGCTTGAAAACGTTGTGTTTGTAACCTTTGAAACTGCTGTCTGGTGGCTGGGCTTTATAGTATTACTGACAACAGATGGCAAATGGCTCCGCTGATGTAATTCTTGCTGGTGTTTCATTCCTGTGAAGTCGCACAGTTTCAAAAAATCTCAGAATGTGCCTCCATATTTTTCCTGCATAATGATTTCAAGCCAAACTAAATAAAAACATTTTGTATTATTCAGATTCCCATGGTGTCATGTGACATTGTGGTAACAATTGCCTTGCAGCAGTTTCAGATAAGTGCACGTTTGGTAGCAATTTTAAGGCCTGTGTCCTTTAAGTAATGCTTATTAGTACGTAACAGATGCCGTTTAGAAACATTATGCCTTTTAATAGGCTCTGCTTTTAGCCTACATGTTCCCATTCCAGGCAGACTGTGGATCAGGCAGGCTTGGAGGTATGCTGTCATTTATGCAAAGCCTAAGTCAATTTTCTGCTCTGAAGTCGAGCCATGTGTTTTTCCTTGTTTCCTCCATTCTGGTCATAGCTGCCTTGCTGTGTTTTTCCCCCTAGTCATATCTTTGGCTGATTGTCAAGCAATTGCAATCAAAACCTTTTGCATTTTTAACCACCAGCAGTGGTTTCTTTTGTCCTTACCGAAGAGCCTGTGTAAACTGAATTTGAACACACTGAGCCTCACTATCAAGAGCACAGCAAGCACAGAGTCAGCCCTCTGTTGCCAGCCTGTCTTTCCTTCTCTGCTTTTTCCTCCTCCCAAAAGGAGAAAAAGGGAAAAGCAGAGCCATGCTGATTTTGGAGCACCTTCAAAGACATGTAGAATAGCTGACACAATGGCACAGAGAAACAAGAGCGATGTTTACATATTTCCTCCACTACTGCCAGCTTTTTATTAAAGCAAGTTCTGAGACAGCCTTGTGATAGTTGATGCAGGTGACGTATTAATTTGCAGCTGTATAATAAATTTATCAAAGTGGAAATGACTGGGGGGGAAGGGTATTGGTTTTTGTTTCTTTTCTCCCCCCCCAGCCCCCAATTAATTGCTTTATTTTGAGATTATTCTAGCTGTGCAAATTGGTCCTTGCGAGTAATTTGGAGAAAGGCTGCTGGGCTTTCTTAGGCAGACTTATGCTCTCTGCTGGTGGGAGCAGTAGGCCTATCAGATGTAAAGCATTTGCAACTCAAATTATGTGGTATTTGAAGCTGGTATCTCTGAAAATCCAGATGGTTGTCTCATGTTTTCGTTACTAGTTTGTTTGCTTGGGGAATACTGTCCTTTCTGATAGCAAAGCAGGGCTTTCAGGTACTCCTGGTGTGCCACATACTGCTGTTGTTTGTATGAGGTGATGGTAAGGGATGTGTGTGGTGTGACTTTAGGTTTCTCACACTTCCTTTGGATGATGGTAGCAATGGGGAAATGTATTTGATTTGGTACTTAAATCCTAGCCCTGCTGCCAGGTTGTAACAGTGTGTGTTTCAGCAATAACTTTTAATTATTCAAACACAGCCATTTTCTGAAAGTGTCCTGTCAGTCTGTCTGGCTTCTCCCCGTGGGATGAATTCATCTCTGTGCTAGACTATTTGTCAAACTCAGTTGTCATTTCCTGCCATTTCACTATTCCTTGTTTATCACAATGGGAGTCATTGTTTTCCTCCTTTCCCTCAAGTTACAGGATGACTTTGGACCAATGCATCCTCCTTTCTACCTTCCATCTTTGTAGAGGATTGAATTGGCACTATCTGCATTTGTACTTGTGCTTCATAAAAGATCTGCTGCTGTTCACAATCTTTTCTGCCATTTTCTTTTCAAAGCAGCCTCTTTCCAGTTGTTCTGGAAAACTTGTGTATTTTATTTCATATAGGGGATAGACAAATAATTAAGTTGACAAATTTGGATTTTTTTTTTTTTTGCTTCCATATACAAGAAAAGACAACTTTGATGTCGGAAAAGCTTGAAAAACTTTGGCTGCCCCATTCCTGGAAGTGTCCAAGGCCAGGTTGGATGGGGCTTGGAGCATCCTGGGTTAGTGGAAGATGTCCCTGCCCATGGCAGGGAATTGATGATCTTTAAGGTCTCTTCCCA